TTTTTTTTTTAAATCATGAAGTTTTTTTTTTTTTAAGTTAAAAAAAATCACAAAAGTTTGTCAAACACATAATATTTGAAAGTAGTGTACAAGTATGACAATAATAGGTAACAAATTCTAAGGTTCTTATATTAAATGTCCATTAAGATTTCTGGGGTAGCTACTGAAAGATTTGAGTATATTTCCAACAGAAAAAAAAAAAGGGGGTTGGGGAGAACCAAAAGAAGACAAGAAAGAAAAAGGTACTGAAAAGGTAAGAGAAATAAGAAGCTCAAACTAAGAATTAAAACTGAACCTGCACATATCAATTACCACAATCAATGCTAATGGGCTAAATTCTCCAATTAAAAGCCAAGACGCTAGGCATGTAATCCCAGCATTCTGGAGGCTGAGACAAAATGATTGTGAGTCTGAGGGCAGCATAGACTACATAGTGAGTTTGAAGCCAGCCTCATTTCAAAAAGAAAAAAAGAATGTCATGATTCAGCCTAGTATTATGTTACTGTATTTATAGTACTGCACAGTCTTAATTAATGTAGCTTCATAGTTTTGGTTTCTTTTTGGAAAATATTTCAGCCCGGTTCTTCAGAAGTGCACTGGACCTTTAGTCTTTTAAATACAAACTAGAATAATCTGTTTACAAGTTTCATGAGATGTCATGTGGCTGCTTTTAATTGGAATTACAACAAATATGTAGAATTTTACCTCTGCCATAAAAATAAAAGCTAACACAATCTTTTCCCCACATTACTGTTTAGGGATGAATGAGTGGGGTTGAACTATGTGAAGTATTTTGCATGTTTTAACTTACAAATATGTAGGAGAAATCATGAGTGCAACACTGTTGCAATTTAAATCCTAAAGAAATACTTGACAAGTAGATTTCTCCTGTAATATTTCTTTCCTTAATGTTTTAGCAGAATATGTGCAGAGAGGAGGGCAGAGCCAGTGGGGAAGGGCTTTGGGGGGAAGATGGAGACATGAATCAGCAAAGCCCTGTTCAAAGCTGAGGAAGGTCTCACTTATGTCGGTGGAGGACAGCATTGAAGGCGAGGCCATCGGTCCAGCTAGTGGTGAAGTTGAGGACATTGACGTGGTCGTATGGCCTGGTGGTCTGGCGCACCCAGCTCAGCAGGATCTTCTCACTGTTTGTCTGCTGCAGGTCTGACATGATGTCCTTCATGACATCTTTCACCTACTCAAGAGAAACCACACCTGCTATACCTCATCCCTTCAAGCATGTCCCTGAATAAGGAAAAATACCTGAACCATGATGTATTTATTTTATATCCATTTTTTTCTTTAAACCCTAGAAAGATAAATTTTATCTTTTGAGGTAGTAGGATTTGGAGGTGAATTTTTTTAACCTCACTTTTGTACATTACTGTACTTCCTGTATTCTAAGCAATACTAGTATAGGTTTTATTACAATGAACATTACTTTCATAGTTACAACAAAGTCACATTTAATACTCCTCATATACAAAGACCTTTTCATATGAAAAGGGCAAAGAATAAAGTATTAGGAAAGGCTAACAGCAATAACAATTACACTCAAGATCTAACATTTCATGCTATTATTCTAAAGTAGTCTATAGAGCTTAAGGAAGCTTTCAAAAAATGATGTGGACATACCAAAAGAACCTACAAGCCAACTTAAAGGATCACTACTAGCGAAATCTAACTTCAGCATCAAAATGAATCACACTAGTAAAAGATGATCAACCTGTATAAAGGCCAAGAGACAGCCACTGATACATGGGTAGATGATAGATAGATGACAGATAGATGATAGATAGATAGATAGATATAGATAGATGATAGGTAGATAGATAGATATAGATAGATGATAGGTAGATAGATAGATATAGATAGATAGATGATAGACAGACAGACAGACAGACAGGAAAACTCTCTGTTACAAATATAAAGCCATCTGGCTTTCTATTTCTGTGGAAAGAGGGTAGGACACAATGACTCACCCCTGCAACCCCAACTACTCAAAGGCAGAGATTGCGAGGATCATGGTTTGAGGTTAGCCAAGGTAAAAAGTTATCAAGACCCTATCTCAACAAATAACCTAGGCATGATAGTGCATCCTTATAATTTCAGCTACATGGAAGGCATAGGCAGAAGGATCACAGTATTAGGGCAGCCCAGGCAAAAAGGCAAGACCCCATCTGAAAAACAAACTATGTGAAAAGGGGCAGGGGACATGACTCAAAGGTCCTGAGCTCAAACCACAGGACTGCTTTGAAGAAAAAAAAAAAAATGCAGGAGGAACAGCGAAGGTAAAAATTCACTATTTGCCAAGCATCTTAATAACAAGTGATCCATGTAAGAATTATGAAGGGATTAATTGAATATTTACACAGGTTCAAAGTACATCACCACAAGATACCACTTAGTAACAAAGGGTAGTCACTTTTACAGTGAAGGGACCCGGCTGATGCCACATTAACCAAAAGAAAAAGAGCTGAGGACAGCCCGTGCCCTTACACAGTACACTGAGAGCAGCCCCACACATACCTGTGGTTCCCCTGTCAAAATGTATAGCCCAAATCTAACCATGAGGACATAGCACAGTCCCATGAAGCACATTCTACAAAATAACTGGCAGTAATCTTCAAAAATACTAAGGAAAGACTCAAGAGCTGCTCCAGTTTAAAGAAAACTAAAGAGAAATGACAAATGAATATAATCCATGCTCTTGGATCTTTTGGCTTTTAGGAAGTGTGTTACTATGGCAACTGGCAAAATCTCACGAGATCTGTGCATTTTTTCAATGTCATTTTCCTGATGTTGATAATGATGTATTATTTTAGTATACAATAATTTTGATAAAATAATAAAGTAAATACTAATATTTACATCATACAGATTTTTGGTGGTACTGTGTTTGAACTCAAGGCCTGCACTTGCTGTACAAGTGCTCTACTACTTAAGCTGAGTCCCAGGCCCCATCATGCATTTTTGAATAATATTAATATTATATGGTAATCATGTAAGAGAGTCTTTGTTTTGAGGAAGATACCATGTTTTTACAAAACACACAGGAAGTCTATGTCAGCACTGTACAGTGGAGAAAGTATACATAAGCATATAGCAGAACTAAGATGACCAAAATAAATAAAAGCAACTGTTACCTTCTGGAGAATCTGAATGAAGGGCATTTGGGAACTCTGAACTATTCTTAGAACATTTTTGTGAGTCTGAAGTTATAGCCATTTCTAAATGTACTATGAGAAAATTAGATACCTTTTTTCCTATGCCAGGAAAATGGACCAGTTGGTCAGCCTTTTCCATTTCAAACTGTTAAGAGCTGAGCTGTGCTCTCCCATAATACCTATACTTGGAATCTTGGTTCTAGTACCCCAGAATTGGGCTTTATTTGGAAACAGCATCATTACTCACATAACTAATTAAGATGAGGTTATACTGAGGTGGGGTGGGCCCCAAATACAATATGACTGGAGTCCTTACAAAAGGGGGAAATCTGGACTCGGACACAGACAAGGAGAATATCCTGTGAAGACCAGTGACACTGCCACAAACCAACAAACTGCAAAGATCACCAATAATCCACCAGAAACTGGAAAGAGGCAGGGAACAGATGCTCCCTCACAGCTCTCAGGAGGAATCCACCTGCCAACACCTTGATCTTGGACGTCTACACTCTAGAATTGTGAGACAATAAATTCTGTTGTTCAAGTCAAGCAGTTTGTGGCCGTTTGTTATGGCAGCCCTAATAAACTAATACACAAACAATACGTTATTAAGAAGTGAGTGGAAACTTCCCCACCTGCCAGTGTAAGATGATGGCCCACAGCAGCCCAAGAGTGAGCTTGGGGTTCCCGTCCACGATGTCAATTCCCCCTATGTTCACTAACTCCACCTAGCGAAAGAAAAGAAGTAGCTTTTACAAAAATTTCTTCCCCGGAACCCCAGATTTTTGACTTAGCACACCTGCACAGCAATATGAGTGGTAAGAGAAAATTCATTTCAGAGAACCAGGTAGACACAAATCTCAAAAATGTATTATTTATCCAGTAGATCAATCCAGCCATCAGAAAGAGCACATGGCAGTTCTCACTCATAGAAAAGGGCCAATACTTCTCCTGAGAAAAAGGTTTCCAAGAATCACTTAATGCCAGTGCACACAGCTGGTGGCTGGTTTCACAATAAATAATGCTGACAAGCCCCAAGTCACTTTGCAAGCTTACATTGTTCTGATGCAAAACCTGCAGCACTCTGTTGACGTTATTTAAGGCATGGACCCTCGTGGAACCACGTTCCTTTGGCTGGAAAATAAAAAACAAAAGCAAATAAGACCTCTTGTCCTTCTGTATGCCTGACAAACACTGACACTGAAATGTACACACAAGAAGTCAGCATTCAGCATCACTGAAGCCAGGAGCTCAGGGACCAGCCTGGACGCTAGTGAGCACAGGATGCAAATTCCCCAACTAACAAAATCTTAAAATACTGCTTCCCTAACTAGCCTGACATTAGAAACTCCTCGGAAGCTTCGAGAAATATGAGTGGCTGTGCCCTGCCCCACCCCAGACATTGTGACTTAAAGGATCTAGGATGTGGTTTGAGATTGGAATGTTTAAAAGACTGTCCTGGTGAATCTAACAGACAGACTAGTTTGGGCCAATGCTGTAGGACAGAGCCTCTTTTGCCTACATTGGTCTAAATGCAAAAGGATGTAGAAGTTGTGTCCCTTTATCCTGCTCAGGTGTGAACACACTGCAATGAGATTCAGAGGCACTTCCCAGGTTCCAGGTAGCACTAAAGAGCCCAATCGGAGGCAGGAATTCCCACCAGGACCTGGTGACCTGGGCAGCTTCCTTCTACCTCACTGGCCAGGAAATCTCATCTAAGGCAGATCAGACTCTCCAGCAGGTGCCTAGCCACCACCACGTGGGGGGCAGAAGGGAGAGGGTAACACCGCACGCTTTGGCAAGGAAAGAATTCATCCTCAGAAGCGCATCTCTCAGTAGTTCTGCCTCTAGTGTAAAGGTCTACACCCAGAAACTACGTATTCAGCATGAGCAGACTTACTTTCATGGGAAGAGAGAACCATACAGTAGTAGAGTTGGATTTAAGGAAGAATGAACACAAAGATAACACTGAACACCTGAATAAAATAGATGTCATAGTTTTTAACAAGCATTTCTTTAGGAAACACTTAAATGTAGTTGGCTCTCTACTGTCTTCCATTCAACACGTCATGGCCTCTTTACAAATCCATTCTCTCCACCACCCCCCGCTACCCACCCAACCTAGGCAGTGTCAAGAAATAAACATTCAAGGTAATTTTATCTTTGGTGAAAACAGAACCCTCAAGAAAGCCTAAATACTGCTCTATCCAAGCGCTATCAAAGACACGTTTTCAGTGTTCTTATTTCGGTCTTCACAAGGTAAGCAGCCATGGTGAGTCTTCAAGCAGCAGTGCTGACCAGAGACAGTCCCTTATCCTCATCCTCAAAGATGACGCCTCTCACCAGTGATGTGCCTGTGAGGCCTTCTAGAAGATCCAAAAGCTTCCTTCCATCTTTGAGGTCTATGAACATGTCATTGATGGGTGGTTTTCCACTCTACAATAAAGAAAAAAGTAAAATGTGGGTCACATCAGCAGGAGGAATTCCATACAGACCTGGCACATAAATGAGTGCTTTCATTTTTTTCCATTAGAGAGTTCTGGATAATCTATAGACTATTCTAGTTTGCCTTGTATAGAAAGAAGAAGAATAAAAACAAAAGAATTTTGAAATCGCATAGTGATCCTTTTAAGCTGAAAAATATAAATTAGATTATAATGGGAACAAACAAAACTGTGGTTCTACTGTTAATATGCCTTGACTATGGTATGTGTTCCTGAAAAAGGAAAGATAAAAGAACCATTAAAAAGTCCATAAGTGGGCTGGCGGAATGGCTCAAGCAGTAAGAGTGCCTGTCTAGCAAGCATGAGTCCCTGAGTTCAATCCCCCAGTGCCACCAAAAAAAAAAAAGTCCATAAGCACCTAGCACCTAGGGCTAAGAATGTGGGCATTCTTTTTTTTTTTAATTATCATATTATTGTTGTGCTGGGGGTACACACTGCAACATTTACAAAAGTGCTTACAATGCATCATAGTTGAATTCACCACCCCCTCCGTCACTCTCCTTTATCCCTCTTCCCCACTTCCTAGAATAGTTTCAACAGGTCTCATTTTCCCATTTCCATACATGAGTACGTAATATTTATACCATTTACCCTCGTTCACCCTTTCCTTATATCCTCCCCCCCACCCACTGGTACCAACCCCAGACAGGACCTGTTTTACCTTCCTGTCCTCCATATTAAAAAAAAAAAAAACACATTTTTTTGTTTAAGATATCTATACAGAGAGTTTCATTATGACATTTCTATGTATACTATATTGTATTCCAAATTGGTTCATCCCTCCATTTGTCTCCCTTCTACCTTAGTCCTCCTCTTATGCTGATTTCAACAAGTTTAAAAATTCTATATTCATTCTTAGTTAGAAAGTACATCAACCACATTCACCTTCTTTACATCCTTCTTTTACCTTCTCCCTCCCTAAGGAGCATGACCTGCTTTTTGTTCTTGTCCTTCATTGCTAGGTGTCAGAGGGATTTTTGCCTTGGTATCACACCTGTACATGCATTGTGCCTAAGTCAATGTAACCCCCTTCCACTGCACTTCCTCACCCTTTCTCCCCATCCTGTGTTGTTTAGCACTTTCAGCAAGTTTCCTTCTGTCTTGTTCCTACACAGATGTGGTAGACTTCATCATTATTCACTATTTTTCTTCCCTTCTTTTCCTCCTCCCTTGGTCTCCTCTACCAGTGAGAATGGGCATTCTGAGTCCATCACCGCCCTCACATTCTCAGTGACACCTGTCAGCACTGCCATTCATGGAAGCAGACCACTGCATAATCAATGTCAGCTCTTGGGTATCAGGCCTATATTTCTGGGCATTAATTTCTTAACAACTAAAAGTACTTTTGGCTCTGTGTCAAGTCCAGTCCAGTATTTGGACTGAGAAAGCACACAGAATTCGTAAAGTCTTGTCCCTGACTGATAAATACGATCAACTCTCACTGAGGGACACGGAGCAGTGTCTGACGCCACAGCTTCTCGCTGCATTCACTGTGAGTTCGCAGGCCCTTGCTGTGCTGTGACAGGGTGAGTTTTTCCTAAACCATGGGATAACAGCTCAGAAAATCAGGAAGCCTGGGTTTTAAGTCCAGTTTGACCACTAACTGCCTGGTGAATCTAGCTTAGTTACTTAACCTTTCAGCCACAACTTACTGCTAAGATCTAACAACATAACTTATATGAAAACTATAATGTACAATGTAATAAATTATTATCTTGCACCAAATTATTCTTTGTGTGAACTCTCCAAGGATTAATAGTCCTAGATCCTGACTACAATAGATCTTTTATAATCAGTCAGTACATGCTCATTTCTCACTTTTATACACATATCAATTCTAATGAAGCAAAATTTGACATTGAGCTTGAGATGGAGAAGGGAAGGAGTCATTGTGAAACTTTCCAAAACTCTGCATTTTTTTCTCCCCTTCTCACTTCTCACCTGTTTTTAAATAAGTAACTAATGAATGCCTTTTTCTTCATATACTCTTAAAAAAGAGAAGTATGACAAAGTGCTCACCATAGAATCGGTGAAGGATAAGCTGATTTTCTACACTACACTGCCACTGTGAAGGTAGCAATGGTGTTGGGGACACACAGATTGTCTCCAGTGATTACCATCACAAGCAGCTTTGATGGCATGAAGCCACATCCCAGGGGCAATACCTCAGGAAGCAGAGCCTGGAAAAAACTGAGGCCTTCCTAAACTGCTATTGGTGAAAGTAACGGGCAAACATTGCCCTTGTCGAGTGCCTGCTTCTAAGTCCTCCAACCAACCAGAGGACAGTTTCATGAATCAGCCACCAAATGACTAAGTCCCTTGCAAGTCCCAGACATAACAAAGAGGCAAGAATACAGGTAAAGTGCACGGGGAAAACAAGTAAAGTCACCTAAACACGGAAAGAACCTTGGGAAAGACAACCAGAACTTCATGGCAATCCAGCACCATCCATTGTCCATCAAATGGCCTAATTCAAAATAAAACAAGCAAATAGTTGTCCATGTGACAAATACTTATGGATGTTCTTCTCATCTGTAGACAAGAAGCCACTTATAAGCCATGCAACTTTGGGCAAGTTACAAGGGCTTTCTGCTGCTCTTTGTTTATCTGTCAAAAGCTCAGGTGGCAGATGTTTAATCAAAGCTGGTATTACCATTTATACCACACGCATGACGTTAGTGTTTCCTACTGTCCAAGAAGTGCCATAAACGTTCTACAATGCCTGAAAGGTCTTAGTAAAAGAATAAGCACTTTTATGCTTATTCTGACGTGACATAAATTGTTCTGTAAAGCTGGCTGAGAACATGAAAGCATGTAGGGCCAATTCATAGATATGTCCAAGACCCAAGTTCACTAACAGGATGATCTGCAGGGACATATCCCCATCCAAAACCATTCACAGGCGCTCTACCACTCGAGTCATTCCCCAACTCTTTTTGCTTTGGTTATTTTTGAAATAGGCATGTGCTTTATGCCTGGGCTGGCCTGGACTGCAATCTTCCTATGTATGCTTCCCACATAGCTGGGGTAACAAGTGTGAGCTGCCACACCAGCTATCTGTTGAGATGAAGTCTCTTGAACTTTTTACCAAGCTGGCCTCCAACGGCAATCCTCCCAAACTCTGCCTTCTGGTGCACCAATATGCACTATGGGAAAGAAGCATGTAACTGCCTTTCTAAAAGCAGCTCGGCGATACGGATTAGAGAATGTAGGACAGTGTTCCATTCTAGGATTACAGGAGTAAGCCACCATGCCTGGCCTAAAGCCCTTTTTTTCTTAAACACACACAGAAACAACAACTCAATTTCTTTCCTCTGTTTCCACATTTCAGATAAACGCTGATATCAATCAGTAAAAATTATGTCTTATCCATGTGTCCCCTTCTTCCAGCACTCTATCACACCACCACCAGGATTGGTGCTATTGGATGCTGCCATTTGTTTCCCTAAAGAACACACACACCTGTAGCATACACATAAGGGGGAGATATGGTCTGTGAATCTTCCACTGGACAGAGCAAAGGAAGGTGCCCAGGCTCCTATAGGGAATACATCCAAGACTGTGGTTCAAGACTTATGCAATCGGGCACAGTGGTGCATGCCTATAATCCCAGCACTCAGGAACACTAAGTCTTCAAGGAGAGTCTGGATATACAGTGAGACCCCGCCCCAAAACAAAACAAAAACAAACAAAAAGCCTCATACATACAACACACTCCCACACTAACCACACATATGACCAGTCACTACAAATGCTACACATTCCTGAAAAACTTAGGAACAGGAAAAAGATGTAAGGCCTGAAGGAGCCAACCTATGCTGAAGAGGAAGTGCCATTGACAGCCTTACAAAGTATACCTGCATCAGAATGATGACTCTGTACTCTGTCCTGTACAAAGGGATGAGAAGAAACTGTCTTTTATAAAGAACCAGACAGTGCATAATTTAGACCTTGGTGGGCTGGTGGTCTCTGTTGAAACTACTCACTTCCATTGTAATGTGAAAGCAGCTATAAACAAATGAGCCAACTGGAAAACAACTGGGTTCTAATAAAACTTTATTTCATGGACATCAACATTTGAATTTCATAAAAATGAGTATTCCTTTGTTGCCAACTATTCTTTGTAACCACTTAGAAATGTAAAAACTACTCTTAAATCATGGGCCACATAAAAACAGGCAGAACAGTAACATGTTCTTAGATAAAACTAGTAAGCGTTGCTATGTGCTAAGAGAATTTTACTGACTTAGAAGTATTATTTACATGCATTATTTCTTTATAGTAACACTTTAAGGTATTATTATATTTACACCTCTATATTACAAGTGAAGAGACACAGAGGTGGCATAACAAGGGAAAAGCAAAACCAGGATCTGATACCACAAAATCTGGTTCCAAATCCATGTTCTCAATATCTGTGCTATACTGAAACTAAAATGGGGGCATACACCCGTAACATGTAGGAAAGGAAATACTTAATCACTACAGGTGGAGTGTGAAATATTTAACAACTTTGCAAAGAGGGCAATCAGACATAAAACACATTGAAATGAATTCAAACATGCATTGTTCTCAAGTTTAAAGCATGCCTGGTGTTTTTGTGTTACAGGCTGTGAACATGGGATATACTCTGTGGAAAATTCTGGAAATGTCAGAAGTCATCTTTTAATAAAAATAAAAATGAATTCATCCTGACAGTTAACCTCTTATTTAGATTTTTAAATCTTTGCCAAGACTTATTTGTAGAGACTTCTCTGACAGACAGAATACAGTTTAATAACTCAATTTGACAAATATTTGGTGAATACCATCTTTGTGCTGGGTCCTGAAGAAATGCCAAGTTCAGGTCACACTCCCCATTCACAACACAGGGTTTCCATAGTTTTCCAATAAACATAAGATGTATAAATGAACAATCCCCAACTTGGAAGACAGATAAAGCTTGGGTCCAATTTTAATTTGTACAGTCGGACACCATGCAAAAGTAAAGTGTTCACTTTAAAATGACTATGATGGGATGCTGAGTTTTCCATACTGTATCATTATTAAAAGTAAACACAAATAAATGGGAAAAAATATTAAAATTTTTCTTAATTAAAGGCAACATGATACCAGCCTAGAAGACAGATACTGCAGGTCTGGTTGTCCAACTCTCATCCCTTTCCACCAGTAC